GTCTGGATGTAATTAGATTAAAGAACTTTGCCTATAATTAACTGGGGACTTTTTCCCCCTATTATTTTTGTTACCTGTCAAAGAATTAGTTCTATGGGTTCAAGTGCTACAGGTGTTAGAATGTGTTGCATTGTTTAGGACAATGCATGCTTTGCCCCCCAAAGGCAAATACTAAGAAGTGGCCTGTGAATGTTTCTTTCCCCAAACCCTGTCCCTAGAAAATAATTTCTTTAGAAAGTTCAATTGGGTGGATGTCTTTTGAGATATTCTCCATGTATATTATTGAAAATATTATTTTTTGTATTTGCCTTCATACTCATATGGTGAAATCCTAACCCCAGTCCCCAAGATGATGGAAGGTGGGGCTTTGGGAAGTGATTAGGTCATCATGGTATAGACCTCATGAGCAGGATTAGTTCCCTTACCAAAGGGATGTGGGAGGCGATCTTTCAGTTATGTGAGCCTACAAGATGGCAGCTATCTCTGAATCAGCAGGGCAGCCGTGCACCACAAACCCAGCCGTGCTGGCACCTTCACTTCCAGCCTCCAGAGCTGTGGGAAAGACATGTTTACTTTGTAAGCCACTCAGTCTGTGGGATGTGGTTTGAGAAGCCTGAATTGGCCAAGACAAATTTGATTTCTAGTAATAAACAAAGGAAGGGGCAGGTGTTAGGTTGCAGTGAGCTCCCCCGCCCCATGCAGTGCCCACATCTCCTGTTGGAGCACCAGGTTGAGTCCAGGCTGTTCTGCTTCTGATCCAACTTCTTGGTAATGCATCGGGGAGGCAGTGGGTGATGACTCAAGTGCTTGTGTCCCTGCCACTCATGTGGGAAACCTAGAAGTAGTTCCAAGTTCCTAGATTTTGACTGGCCCAGGCCTGATGGTTCTGGGCAACTGAAGAGTGAGCTTGCAGATGGAAAATTATCTTTCTTTCTGTTTCTCTACCTTTCGAGTAGTTGGAGAAAAAAAAATAAATGTCTCAAAGCATAAACAAAAGCAAGACCAATTGACTTTCTGAATGCACAAGTTTATTCTGTGTCCTGCTGAAGATGACATGTCTTAGAGTTTTATTCTTACGGCATTTGCTCTTCTTAGAGTTTGTAGAGATGTTCACGGAGTTTGGAGCGTTGTTTCTAAACCCATTACAGATACTATATCATAAAGTGGATCCAATACCCTGCACATTGTGCTCCTGCCGTCTTTTGTGTCACAAGTGTCTTTAGGGTTTTCCTCTAGTGAGAAAAGCTAAAAACACCCCTACCTTCCTGCCATGTCTTTAGGTCTCTGCCTACTTGCCATCCATTTTTCCTAGAAAAATGTGGTCAGGTTTTACCTTTTTCTCTAGCTAGGGACATAGCCTATGGCTGATGATTTCCTGAATTAACTGCCTTAAAGCTGTTTTTATGTGCTGAGTTTTGGGGAAATGAGTGCATAGAACAAACCCATGGCCCCACAGTTTTACACCTGAAACTGCTAGCTGTATCAAGGCTTGGTGTGCTAACAGCTTTAGCCTCACTCAGGGACCCTCTGCAGAACTGAACTGTCTCTGCAAGCATTTGAAGCAGACCAGTGTTAGCATGCATGCTTGTAAATAATGTAGAGGTATTCAAGACTGCCCTGAGAGATGGAGCGTGGAGAGCAGACAGGGCTGGAAGATTCACTTGATAATAATGTGAAACCTAAAACCTCTGAGACTGAATTAGCAGGTGTGCTTGTGCAACTTTCTTTGTGCATTTAATCAGCTGTAATCTTCAGGCATGCCCACATTAGTTTTTTTTTTAAACAGGTAGCCATCTTAAGTGGCACATCCAAAATGATTATTGTCTAAGCTGAATTTTATGCTGGAGGATGACACTTGTGTGCTTTTTGTTTTAAAATGATATTTTCATCTATTTAAAAGACAGAGCGAGAGAGAATGAGAGCTCCACCATCTGCTGATTCATTCCCCAAGCTTCCCACAACAGTTGGGGCTGGGCCAAGGGGAAGCCATGAACTCAGACTTCAGCCTGGATATCTGTGTGGGTAACAAAGACCCACACACTTGAGCCGTCATCTGCTGCCTACCAGGCTCATTGGTGGGAAGCTGAATTAGAGGCATAGTATCCATCTTGAACTGGCACTCCAGTTTGGCATGCAGGCGTTACCAAGAACCACGTAACCCATCTGTACCCAAGTGGCCACCTCTATTTTTATGTTAAACAGAGGTCTTCAGAGTAGTCACAGTGATTGATTTACTACATAACTGGCTTGTTATTTTGAAAGAAATATTTTTTGACCATGGATTCACTCAGAAGTGTGTGTTTTACATGGCAACCTAGTGCATTCATTATTGTATTATATGAGTGTATTTGTATGTGAATCAACACACATTACATTTCACAGTGTAGTGTTTACTTGTACTACATGAACTGCTCTGGTATTTTTTAATTTTTTTTTTTTTTACTTTAGAAGGCTGGTATTTATGCATCAGTTAGAATTTGTTACTAATGATAGGGGAATACCCTATGGTCGCAGGTACACTTCACCAGACCCCTTATTACTTTTTTGTTTCACTCATTTATTAGTGAATGAGTAAAAATGTTTATTGAGCACCTACTATGTGCAAAGCACTGTGGTTAGTATTAGGAATAAAGACAGGTGATGAAGTTAAAACAAGTCTGTGGTCTGCAGAAGAGGAACTCACTGAATCGCAGCTGTGTTGGTGGATGGATGTGGTGCCAGGAGTGGGAGCTACATGCGGCACTGCGGAGAGCCGAAGAAAGGACCTCAGGTGTGGACGAGGAGGGCCTGGAATGCCATGTGAAGCAGCTTAACCCGTTGTGTTGTCATCAGGTTTTCAAAGTGTAGCATAGGAGAATTTCATGTTCACATAGAAACTTCTGTGTGACTTCAGTATAAACTGTCAACTTGGAGATAAGCCAGCACAACAGAGGGGTTTGCCCTAGAACTCTGTCTGCAGGGGTCCGGAAGCCCTGGTGACCTCACTCAGGACCCTCGTAGGTATGTGCCAGGGCATGGCCAAGTCCCCTTTATGTGTGTAGGATATTGCTAGGATGCTGTGAAGGATGAAGTGCAGAGCATGCTACACAAGGGACTGGAGGGAGCTAGGACCTGAACTCATTGAATTAGGACCCCTGGGACTTGCTCTCCATGAGAAAGGGGAGGAGAGAGGAACAGGTGCTTGAGTTTGGTGCTGGGAATTCTCTGGATGTAAGAGCTTAAAGCAGAAGAGGGTTGTGTGGGGCTGTTTTGTGCCAGAATCTGCAAGGCAGGTCATGGGGTGGATTTTTTTTTTTTTTTTTGCTTAACTATTGAATGGCCTCTGCCTTTCAGGATTATACAAGTTTCCCTTACTTTTAACTGTCTGAATTTTGCCCAGCCATCCCAAGTGCTGCCAGCCTATCTGCCTGTCTGAATGCATGTTGGAGTGGCCTGGGTGCTCCCTGGTGTAGATCCATGGAGCCAGGAGTGTCCATCTCAGGGCTGGTGCTGAGATGGAATGAATCAATGGTGAGGTCCCCTGATAGATCTCTGCTCTGCCGCACGCACTGTGACACAATGTGCAAGTTACTCTCTTGGAATGGGACAGGGTCTGCCTATTGGGATTGTCACAAGAACTTAAATGGGGACCAGTGTTGTGGCAGAGGTTAAACCAGAGCCTGTGACACCAGCATCTGATATGAGCATTGGTTGAGGTACCAGTTGTTCTTTCAGTCCAGCTCTCGATTAATACACCTGGGAACAGGTGAAAGGTGGTCTAAGTATTTGATCCTCTGTCACCCATGTGGGGTCACAGAGTCCTAGGTTCCTGGCTTTGGCCTGGTCAGCTCTTGTGGCTAGTTGGAGAGTGAACCAGCAAATGGGAAAATCTTCTGTCTCTCCCTCTTTCTGTAACTCTTCTTTTCAAATAACTAAATAGATCGTTTAGGACAAGAACCTAATGTGGAAGATGCCTCGCTCAGGGTCTGTGCACAGGAGGCCTGTGGATGATGTATGAACTGCTTCACTATGAAGATAAAGCTTTTGAAGAGAGGGATCCTCTTTTCTCCTGACAAGGAGGCCTTTGGTGTTGATAAATATTAAAATCATGTCCAGTGGGAAGATAGGAAGTCAAGGTCAAAAAGCAGGAACAAAGGGCAAGTGTTCTCATGGCCGAAAGATGTGATTGACTCTGGCTTTGTTTGCTGTATTTTTTAGAGGGAATTTGTGAGTTTCAGTCCTTTTCCAAAGAGGCAGCATAAGCACGGAAAAAAACTTTCTAAATTTAAAAAAACGAATGTGGTGTTCACATGTGTATCTTCTCTTACTGCACTTCCCTGTCTTACATTTGCACTCATTGCGCCATTAAAATGGTCCTGTGTGATCCTAACATTTGTTTAGAGAATGGTTTAGGGGCAAATTCAATAAAATATTTTGAAGCTTTTGATAAATGGATCCCTACCCCTTTCCAAACAAATGACCGAGGTTGGGGAGAGGGCAGTGCTGAGTGTGGGAAGCCCGAATCGAAAGGGCTGGCTCTCACTGGAAAAAGGTGGTTCCTTCCAGGGGGTTAGTTAGCTTGAGAGTTCTGTTCCTCTTTGTTGAAACAGCTGTAGTTTGATATCAGGGATAATAAAGAAAAAATATGACTAGATTTCCAGGAGGATTATTTATGATTTGTGTGTCACTTTCATCTGGAGGACCATTATAGAATATTATGGTAATAGCAGTCTTTGGCAGGGGGTAGATTTCAATCTGGGAATTTCTATATCGGGCTGTTATTTGTGCTTGCCCTCTTTAGTGGTCATATAAATCAGAAGCTTCTGGGTTCCAGGGTACATGATGAAAGGCTCTCATGCCCACCTTTGGTTTGCTGTTTAGAAGTGCCCTCTCAGAGTTGCACTTGATCACAATGGCATTTGCAGATCCTTGTACACCCTCTTATTCAAATGGGATTCCTGCGGGGGGTCCTGTACTGCTCCCTACAGTCACTCCGTAGTAGAGAAATATGAGTAAACCTGGTGCTCGCTTCGGCAGCACATATACTAAAATTGGAACAATACAGAGAAAATTAGTATGGCCCCTGTGCAAGGAGGAGTAAGCCTGAGAGAGACTTGAGTATCTCGCTTGTTGCTTCAGTAGTGATTGAGCTGATTGCTTTTCCCAAGAGAGCCCGATGTTGCTGATACATTTAACAGGAAATCTCAGAATTAAGAAGCAGCAATTTATAAAGTGTTTTCTGTTTCTGATTGTCAAGTATAGGAGAAACAGTCATTTTGTCAGGGGTGGGGGGTCACTGTAGGACTGGGGGACCACGATTATAGCATAGTAGTTAAGCCACTGCCTGCAGCTCCAGCATCTCATATGAATACTAGCTTAAGTCCCTGCTGCTCCACTTCCAGTCTAGCTCCCTGTCAATATGCCTGGGAAAGCAGAGGAAGCTGACCCAAGTCTGGGGCCCCTGCAATCCAATGGGAGAGCTGGTGGAAGTTCTAGGCTCCTGGCTTTGGCCTGGCCTGGCCTTAGCCATTGCAACCGTCAGATAGAAGAGCTACCTCCATCTGTCTCTTTTTCAAGAAAAAAAAAAAGAAATCTTTTTTTTTTTTTAAGTGGGCAACCTGATTATTTTAAAAAAGATCACACATTTATACTAAACAATATACTAAAAATATATGAGAATATTATGAGTTACAGAACATATCCCAGGGAGTCAGTGGCTGCTATTCTGCTGTTTCAAAGGTGAGCTCTGGCCCCCTTTTCTGGTGGTTTTTGTGTATACTTGGAGACATAGGCTGTGTGCTGGTCCAAGGATGATAGCAACCTTTGTCCTCATTGGGGAAATAATAACTGCCCTGTGACGCTGACTCAAGAGTTAGTCTCATGTTAATTTTTTGTTAATGTTTTATGTTTGGTGAGTCAGAAATGCAGGTGCTTGTGGAGTGTTATTAACAAGGACCAGTGTGTCTTTGATTATAATCATTTCAAATTACAGACCTCTGATTTTTGCCATTTGGTCATCCATAATCTTTAATAGGCCTGCTACAAGGACAATTTTTCGATCAGTAAGAACCTTGATCCGTTGGTTCCTCAGCACCCTCATTACACAAACAGGATCCCTATCAGCAAACCACGTAGGTGTCCATGTTGTCAGGAGTTGAGTATTCTGTAGCTCAATGAACAAGTCTAAGTATTTCAAGTTAGCAGATGATGAGATTATCTATCACAACACCTTCAGAGTAAGAAAAATTCTCTAAAACACCTGCTAAGGTGATTCCAGGCACGTTTGGGCATTCTTGCATGTGCATCCACACCTCTGAATTATGTAACTGTGCACAGACTTGCTCAAATATGGTATGTTGAGACTACTTCAAAACTACCAATTTATTTCCCCTGTGTTCTGGGATCTCAATCCCAAAGATTGCAACTTTAAAAAAAAAAATTAGGTTTTTGAACAATTCCAAGAAGAGTGGACTGATGGTAACCGTGACTCCATGATGGAAGGAGTTTCTCTGCCACACCATATACACACTTGGAGGGGTGGAGGCACTTTGGAGTCAATAACTAATTGATGAAATCTTTTGTTGTGAAAACAAGAGTTGGCCGAATTCCCAGTAAATTTTTTTTTTTTTCCCTGAAGGGTGAAAGAGGAGTCAGAAGGATCAGTGTGTTGTTGGTCAGCCGACAGCATTTGAGAATGTTTTGTTCAAACCTCAAGGTCATAGACACAGGTGACGTGGCTTCAGATCTGCAGCTTCTCCCCCATCTTGGGAGCACATTCCTCCAGAGTCTTCACTGAAGCTTTTTTCCCCCCCTAAAAAATTATGTTTAATTGTGGGGAAAAAGGCATAGATTTTTACCATTTAACCATTTGAAAAATGTGTGGTTCAGTGGTGTTAACTGCATTCCTGTTGTTGAGCAATAACTCTGTAGAACTTTTCCATCTTGCAAAACTGTAATTTTACACCCATCAAACAATTGCTCTCCTCCCACCTCCCCTAGCTCCTGGCAAGTTTAACTTTCTGTCTCCATGTCTGTTTCCATGAGCTCCACTGTCCTACCTCCCTGGTAGAAGTGGAATCATACAGTATTCCTCCTTTTCCTGACTCTGATTTCACTTAGCAGTGACCTTGAGATCTCTCTGCATTGCAGCCGCTGACTCATTGAGTGTTTCTTTTTACAGGGTGACTACTACTCTATTTTGTTTACATACCAGGCCATTTTTATTCATTTATTCATCAGTGAAGATATGTTTCTACCTCCCAGCTGTTGTAACTGGTGCTGTTAAGGCCATAGGTGTGCAACTATCTGATAGCCTCTTTGAATTCCTTTGTGGTTTTATACCCTGAAGTGGGTTTACTGGACCATATCCTAGTTCTTTCTTTTTCTTTAAGTATTCTTTTATTTTTATTTATGAAAGAGAGACACATACACAGTGATCTTCAACAGCTAGGGCGGGGCAGGCCCAGGACTCGATCTGAGTATTCTGTTTTCATGCAACTACTCAAGCACCTGAATAGTTGTATGCTGCCAAAATCAGAAGTAAAGGCAGGACCTGAATCTGGATGCTCTGATGTGGGATGTGGGCATCCTAAGCAGAATCTTAACCATGGTGCCAAATACCTATCCCTGTATGGTTGTTTCACGTTAAGTTTTTTGAGAAAATTCCATACTATTTTTCATAGTAACTGTACTATTTGCATTCCTGTCAATAATGCACAGGGTTCTGATTTCCTCACACCTTTCTGATTTTTCTTTTGAAAGGCAGAGTGTAAGAAATGATGGACAGAGTGAGAAATTGAGAGGGATAGTCCAGTGGTTGGTTCCTTAAATGGCTGCAGTGGCAGAAGTAAATCAAAAGCCAGGAGTCTAGAACCCCATCCAGGTTTTCCACTTGGGTAGCAGAAGTTCAAGCACTTGGGCCATCTTCCACTGCTTTCCCATGCATGTCAGCAGGGAGCTGGATTGGAAGTGGAGCAGCTGGAATTTGAGTCAGTGCTTTAGTATGGGTTGGTTTAATATGCTGTGCCACAATGTCAGCCCTTCTCCACATCCTCTGCTCAAGCTTTAGGAAAGGTACTATTATGGCTCCAATCATGTTTTTCTTGGTAGGTGGTAATTAAAGGATTGAAAAACAGTAAAACAGGTGAGTGGAGAGGTCATTAAAGACAAGCTTGGCAGATATTAAAAAAGAACTTGGTCTCTCTTTTGACTGCATTCCTTCCCTGTCATTAGGTTTCTTGTTGTTTGGAGGGTGTCTCAAAGGGTAATGCCACTGCCTGCTAACCCTGCATCCCAACATGGGAGCCAATTTCAGTCCCAGCTGCTCCACCTCTGACCCAGCTCCCTGCTAATGGTCTGGAAAAAGCATCAGAAGATAGTCCAAATGTTTTGGCCCCTGCCAATCCCATGGGAGACTTAGATGAGGCTCCTGGCTACTGGCTTTGGTAATGGCCCTGGCCATTGCAGCCATATGGTGAGTGAATCAGTAGATGGAAGATGTCTCTGCCTTTCCCCTTCTCTCTGTATCTCTTTACTTTCAGAATAAATAATTTTTAAATTTTTAAAATTCTCATTCTAACAAATGAATAATATTTGTCTAATACTTTAAAAAGTGTCTTCTGTGTGGACTGTGCCTCTAGGACATCATAAGAACAGTAGAGGAAAAGTCAGCACAGATCAGAAGATTGGGAGGATCTTTGGTCAGTAGAGCTTGCTGGGACTGCCTGGGTGTTTGGTGCTGGGCTGGGCTGGGCTGGGCTGGGCGGATCAAAGCTGCTGGGACCGCAGCTCGGGCTCCTGTTCTGGTTGAGCTGGTACAAGCTGGACACTGGAGATCGTGCAAGGCTATTAGTCATTGACCACTTAGTGCAAGTCTTTTGGCTCTCGGGGCACGTGGCTTGTGCCTCATTTCTCTCATCCATGAATGAGACAGTTGGCGCAGGGGAGCCTTGAAAAGCTGTCATCTTTTAATTGTGAAGCATTAACTTTGCTTCCCTCCTCCAGGAAGGATTCCCCAAGTGTCTCAGCTGCACTAATGATCCCTCCGTCTCAGAAACCTTACACCAGTCCTGCTGGCCTACCTTGTCCGTCACCTCTTACACTGTGTCTTAGACAAGGCAGTTTGCCGTCTTGGAGTAGCTTCCTCCCAGCACTGTGGCTTGTCTCACTCTTCTGAAATGGCTAAATCATTTGCAACAACTGTTTGGTACAGGATATAGAGTTGTATTTGCCCTAAAAGAACTTAGATTTTTCAAGAGCCCCCTTTCCAGAGGACCACAGAGGTGTTCCCTTCCATGGCCCTTGGTTTCAAGAGTGGGTGTTGGAGAGGTGAAGGATGCTCACACTGTGCATCAGTGGTGACTTCCCTTTTCTTGGGTCTGTCCCTGGTGTGCTTTCTATTATTTTAATTAAGTAGATAAGGTTGGTGCACAAGAAGAGATAAGCAGTACCTGGAGACAGTGTGTAAGAGGTGCCAGACACAGAGGCTTGCGGGTGCTGGTGTAGGGTTTCTGAGAAGCAGCGATCCTGAGCTCAGCTTGGGATCACTGGGGGCTCTTCCTGGAGAAGGGAAGGGTTTTGAATTGGCTTTGAAAGATGGACAGATGGTGGTGGGGTGGAGCAGAGGCATGGAAGGTGCAAGCTAGGTCGTGGTGCACAGTGGGGCGTTCAGGTGGGCTAGAAGAGAGGGCCAAGGAGGGGCGGGGGACAGGAAGGGACATTAGCTGAGCAGCCGTCTCGTCCTTGCAGTCTCCAGGGTTTTACCGGTGGCGCCTCAGAGTCCTGAGCATGGGAATGACAGCCTGATCATGCACTTGTCTGAGGGCATTCCTTTCTCCTCATCCCCAGGAGATAACTGCAGACCGGTCTTCCTCAGAGGGTAAAATTGCTTTGATCCACCAGGAAATTGCCCAGCTGAAAATGGAGAGCAAGGGGACCAGTGTTGTGGCAGAGCCAGTAAAGCTACCACCTGTGAGGCAAGCATCCCACCTGTGCACTGGGCTGTCCTGCTTCCAGTCCAGCTCTCCGCTGATGGCTTTGGAAAAGCAGCGGAAGGTGACCCAAGTGTTTGGGCTCCTGCCACCCACATGGGAGACAGAGCTGAAATTGCTGGCTCCTGATTTCACC